GATCGCACCATTGCACTCCAGCCTGGGTAACAAGAGCAAAACTCCATCTCAAAAAAAAAAAAAAAATTCTTAATCGTGAAAATACAGCATACTTCTCATTTCTATCTATTTTTTTTCCCAAAACTTTATTTCACAATACCCCAATATAGTTCTATACTTTTGTCTTGCAGTCAGGAACCACACATTGATTTAAGCATCTAGATCATTTTTGCTGTGCAAGCAATACTTTTCCAGTCTTAGTCTGAACTGACGTGAGCTGTCAGGCCCCACAATTCTCAACAGCTTTGAAAATGCAATCCACTGGTGTTCCATTTTTAATACTGCAAAGTCTTGTTTTATTCTTGAAAAGTATGAGCCTGAAACGTACATGAAGATGCTGGAATAGATACCATCTCAAACTCAGCTGTCATTGACTGAAGAAACAAGCCAAAGGGAGTCCATGAATCAGGGAGGGAAGGCAGGGTCAGGCACGGTCAACTGGTCCAGGTTCCTCTTGCTCAGTCAGACCCACTGTTCAGGACCTGAGGGGCATGAAAGCAGCTCAAGCCATGGCCCTGGTAACAGGGACAGGAGGGAAGCCAAATGCCTAGGCAGATAGAGGTGGGACCCCAGTGAAACCCCTCTTCCAAGCCAAAGACAGTTTAAAGCCTGAAAACCAAGCTATAGGTTAAATCCTCAGACCAGATTGAGAACTGGTCTTTCCTCTGATCCCCACCCTTCACATATGTTACATATGCCTGCTCTTTCCAAATTGGTTTTCTACACTGTCATGCCCACTTTTGAGTGGTATCTTTACTTTAACCTTTTTTGCATACTCACAAACCAATCAGCACACACTCCCTATTGTGAGCCCATAAAAGTCCCAGCGTCATCCGTACTAGGGGACTTTCTCTGCTTTGGGCTTGGGAACTACCCGCATGTCCTCTCTTTGCTGAGAGCTTGCTTTTCCTTTAATAAATTATACTCCACTCATTCTCTGGTGTCGTCATACCTAATTCTTCCTGGTTGTGAGACAAGAACTCAGAACTAGCTGAGCTAAGCAGCAGAAAAGCTCCTGCATCACTGGTTTTTATTTATTTCCCTGCCTCTGGTGCCTACCCACCTTGCTTTGTTTGCTGGGGTTTTTTTGTCCCCTACATCTCTGGGTTACCAGGAGCTTGGCCTCCTGCTTTCCTCTACTTGCTGGCTCTGTCCTATCCTTTACTTACTCAGTTGCTTACCCAAGCAGGAAGACTTCCACTTAGGTTCTCGAGTGTTTGCCTGTCTATATTCTGGCCAACAGCAGGTGGAAGCCATGTCTTATACGCCTCAAGATAGTCGTTTACGTGCAGTTAATAATACTTATCATTCCCATGACAGTGCTTGCAAAAAGGAAATAAATAATAATAATATTCATCATTTGCCTCTGTTGGGAGGAAGTCAAAAGACAGATGGGGAAAGAAATCAGATGTCCCTGTTTAACTTCACCTCCTGTATTTTAATTCACTAGACCTTCTTGGCAGGTATAAATTCCCTTGTTTTCAGCTTTCAGGCTTGTGGCTGATTGTATGAACTTCTGGTGTGCTCTGGGAAAGAACAAAGCAGCATTAATTCTCTTCATCTTTGGTAATCCAATTAATGCACCTGGTTTATAATATGCGTGACACATCTGCTTTGTTACCTCTTGCTGAGTAACAGCCCCAAAATTTAGTGGCTCAAAACAACAACAGTGCATTGTTTCTCGAAATTCTGGACTCTTGACTGGGCTTAGCTGGCCACATCTGCTCTTTATGGTGTGAGCTTGGACTGAAATATCTAAGATGGCCCTTTCACTCACATGGTCTCACCTGAGATGGCTGGAGCATCTAAGACCTGGTTGAGCATCTTGCCACATGGTCTCACCACATGGCTAGCTTGGGCTTCCTCACAGCATGGTGCTCTAAGGTAATCAGCTTAGACTTCTTACATTGTGGAGGGTTCCAGTTTCTGGCTTCCAGCTTCTCTTGAAAGGCTAAACTGACATAATGTCTCTTTTGGTACATTCTGTTAGTTAAAACAAATCACAGACCAGTCTAGATTCAAGAGGCGGGGAAACAGACTCTGCCCCTTGGTGAGAGGAGCAGCATGTCAGCACAGTGGGGTAAGGAATTGATGTTAGCCATCTTTGGAGATGTATGTAACCTCTCATTTTTCCCCTAAATTCAATATTATTTTTTAAACATACAAAAAGCTGTACATAGCTTTTTAATGCATAGAGCTTGATTATTTTGAACATAAGTATACACCTGTGAAACCATCACCACAATCTATACCATAAATCTTTTTTGTTTTTTGGTTTTTTTGGAGACAGTCTTGCTCCGTTGCCCAGGATGGAGTGCAGTGGCACAATCTCAGCTCACTTCAACCTCCACCACCAGAGTTCAAGCAATTCTTATGCCTCAGCCTCCTGGAGTAGCTGGGACTGCAGGCGCGCACCACCACACCCAACTAATTTTTTGTATTTTTAGTAGAGACAGGGTTTCACCATCTTGGCCATGCTGGTCTTGAGCTCCTGACCTCATGGAGCTCAAAGTGTTGGAATTACAGGCGTGAGCCACTGCGTCTGGCCAATGGAGTGCACTGTTTTTTAGGGGAGCTACAGTTAGGAAGTGGTCACCATAGCATAAAGGTCCTAATGGAGGAGGCAGATGTGTAAGGGAAGTCAAGGGCAGCCTGAAAGCCCTCTTCAGAGTCCAGTGCCAGATGGCCTCCGTGGAGCCACAGCCAGACCTGAGAGAATAAGCCTGTCTTTATTTGTAAGTAGCTGCTTTTACCTGCCAAGCCCACCCCTGAGACACAGTCTGATCCACATTAAAAGGGCCAGGGCTGTCCCAGCCAATTTGGTTTTGTGTCTCGTCCTATCTACTTCTTTATGCAGGACCCCCGACTGCCAAGTTTCTCCTGGGAGGGGAGACGCTCATTTTCTGCTTTACCCTGTAGACTCAGCTTTGTGTCGTGAGGTTCTTTCCCTTCCTGGGGTCCTGCATCCCTATGAACAGGACCAGGACCAGCCCCAGACCCACAACTGGACAGCAGGTCCTAACGTGGCTGCACATCTTTATAATAATGAAAATTGGCTGCACCCAGTGACTCACGTCTGGGAGGCTAAGGCAGGCAGATTGCTTAAGCTTAGAGGATTTGAGACTAGCATGGGCAACACGGCAAGACCCCATCTTTAAAAAATCCAAAAATTAGCCAGGCATGGCAGTGTGCACCTGTAGTCACAGCTACTTGGGAAGCTGAGGTTGGAGGATTACTTGAGCCTAGGAGGTCAAGGTTGCAGTGAGCCATGATCATGCCACTGCACTCCAGCCTGAGTGACAGAGCAAGATCCTGTCTCCAAAAAAAAAAAAAAGTAATGAAAATTAGCTCATGCATACATGTTTAAGCATAATTACTGGCTTTTATATAGTTACATGTTCTTTCTAAGGTATCTTGGAAAAAACAATCTAATGAAATAATCGGCAGCTGATTGGCTCATGGCAATCATTAGACAAATATTAGATCATTAAACTTTTTTTTTTTCCGAGGTGGAGTCTTGCTCTGTCACCAGGCTGGAGTGCAATGGCGCAATCTTGGCTCACTGCAACCTCCGCCTCCCAGTTCAAGTGATTCTTCCGCCTCAGCATCCCTAGTAGCTGGGATGACAAGCAGGTGCCACCACACCTGGCTAATTTTTTGTATTTTTTTAGTAGAGATGGTGTTTCACCATGTTGGCCAGGATGGTTTCAATCTCTTGACCTCATGATCCACCTGCCTCAGCCTCCCAAAGTGCTGAGATTACAGACATGAGCCACCGCGCCCAGCAAACATTTTTTTTAAGCTCTTGCTGGGCACAGTGGCTCACTCTTGTAATCCCAGCACTTTGGGAGGCCAAGGTGGGTGGATCACTTTCATTTGGGAGTTCGAGACCAGCTTGGCCAACATGGCAAAACCCTGTCTCTACTAAAAATACAAAAATTAGCTGGGCATGGTGACAGGTGTCTATAATCCCAGCTACTCAGGAGGCTGAGGCAGGAGAATCACTTGAACCCAGGAGGCAGAGGTTGGGGTGAGCTGAGATCAAGCCACTGCACTCCAGCCTGGGTGACAGAGCGAGGCTCAGTCTCGAAAACAACAACAACAAACCCTTTTCCCTGTCTTTTTTATTCTTGTAATGGAAGCATAACACAAATCTTAAATGCAAAACTCAGTGAATGTGTGCACGTTACATCCAGATCAACATATAAGCATCCCAGAAGGTTTCTTCATGTCCCTTTGCACCAAACCCCCGCTCCCCAAAGAGATTACTGCTTGTCTTTTATCACCAGATGCTAAAGTTTTGCTTGTATTTGAACATCGATTTGAATCATACAATGTGTGTTCTATTGCTTGGCTGCTTCTACTTAACATAGCATCAGTGAGAGTTGTATGTGTTTTTGCAGGCATCTGCCATTTGTTCTTTTTCATTGCTGTGTAGTATTCCATGGGGCACCTAGACGATGATGTATCTATCTGGTTTCTTGGTGATGAACATTTGGATTGTTTCCAGTTTTTGCCTACTGTATTTAAAGGTGTTGTGAGGCCAGACATGGTGGTTCACACTTGTAATCCCAGTACTCTGGGAGGCCAAGGTGGGAGGATCACTTGAGGTGAGAAGTTGGAGACCAGCCTGGTCAACATACTCAGACCCATCTCTACAAAGAAAGAAAAGAAAAAATTGAGACACAGTATAATTCGCCCTTTTAAATAAATGTGCAAATCAGTGGTTTTTAGTATGTGTACAAGGTTCCGCAAGTATCACCACTGTCTAATACCAGAACATTTCATCACTCCAAGAGGAAATGTTATATCCATCCATAATCACTCTATATCCCTTCCTTTCCTCAACCCTTGTCAACTACTAATCTACTTCCTGTCTCTTTGTATTTAATACTTATTCCTGACATTTACTATCAATGGTCAAACTTTATGTCAATTTGTTTTATTTTTTTTTTCTCTAGGATCCTAAGCACTTCAAGTCAGAGAAGACAGGACGGGGACAGTTGAGGGAAGGCTGGAGAGACAGTCATCAACCCATCATGTGCTCCTACAAGCTGGTGACTGTGAAGTTTGAGGTCTGGGGGCTTCAGACCAGAGTGGAACAATTTGTACACAAGGTAAGAGGTCCAACAGCAGTTCCTGGGCTATGGACAAGGTAACTGTCTATATTGCCAAGTTGGAGTGCATGATACACACGAGATACACAAGTACTACTCCAACATCCGGTCACTGCATCTCAAAAACACCGTTTGAGCCAGTCGCAGTGGCTCATGCCTGTAATCCCAGCACTTCGGGAGGCCAAGGCAGGTGGATAACTTGAGGCCAAGAGTTCAAGACCAGCCTGGCAAATGTGGCGAAACCCCATCTCTACTAAAAACATAAAACATTAGCTGGGCATGGTGGTGGGTGCCTGTAACCCAGCTACTCGGGAGGCTGAGGCAGGAGAATTGCTTGAACCTGGGAGGCAGAGGTTGCAGTGAGCCGAGATCACTCCATTTCACTCCAGCCTGGGCGATGAGAGAAATTCTGTCTCAAAAAATAAAAAAGGCTTACCTGTGAACACATCCCCTAAAGTTAATTGCCACTCAAAAGATCTGCAAATGTAGGCACCTAAAGCAGAAGATGCCCAAGAGACAGAACAAGAAATCCCAATAGTCCAACTGGACAGTATACCTCAGCATTTCTGCTCCTTTAATAACTCTGTTACCAAAGTCGCCAGGCTCAGTGGCTCAAGCCTATAATCCCAGCCCTCTGGAAGGTGGAGGTGGGTGGATCACTTGAGGTCAGGAGTTCGAGGCCAGCCTGGCCAACATGGTGAAACCCTGTCTCTATTAAAAGTACAAAAAAATTAACCAGGCATGATGGCCTGTGCCTGTAATCCCAGCTACTCAGGAGGCTGACGCAGGAGAATTGCTTGAACCTGGGAGGCGAAGGTTGTAGTGAGCCAAGATTGTGCTACTGCACTCCAGCCTGGGTGACAGAGCAAGACTCCATCTCAAAAATAATAATAATATGCGCCTGTAATCTCAGCACTTTGTGAGGCCAAGGTAGGCAGATCATGAGGTCAAGAGATCGAGACCATCCCGGCCAACATGGTGAAACCCCATCTCTAACTAACATACAAAAATTAGCTGGGCATGGTGGCGCGCACCTGTAGTCCCAGCTACTTGGGCGGCTGAGGCAGGAGAATTGTTTGAACCTGGGAAACAGAGGTTGCAGTGAGCCAAGATTGCGCCACTGTACTCCAGCTTGGCACCTGGTGACGGAGCAAGATTCTGTCTCAATTAATAATAATAATACTAATAAGGTTACCAAAGAATTGTTAACAGCCTCAGGATGTAGATTTCAATTGTATACCCACTATGGCTAAACATGCTAATTTTGTAGCAGAAACCTACTTGGTGATGATTTATATTTTCTCAGGGTTTCTAACATGACTCTGTCCCTCATGGGAGAAAAAAATGGGAACCGCAGTGTTGAGCATTGCCCTTTGTAGCTGTTCTCATTTTCAAAAGAATAAATATGGGCCGGGCGCGGTGGCTCACACCTGTAATCCCAGCACTTGAGAGGCCGAGGCGGGTGGATCACTAGGTCAAGAGATTGAGACCATCCTGGTCAATGAGGTGAAACCCCATCTCTACTAAAAATACAAAAAATTAGCTGGACATGGTGGTGCGTGCCTGTAGTCCTAGCTACCCAGGAGGCTGAGGCAAGAGAATTGCTTGAACCCAGGAGGCGGAGGTTGCAGTGAGCTGAGATCGCGCCATTGCACTCCAGCCTGGGTAACAAGAGCGAAACTCTGTCTCAAAAAAAAAAAAGAATAAATACTACCCAAATTGTCTCTACATTCCAGATAGGCTAGTTATCTGTTTATTTTTCCACTCTAAAACTAATAAAGAGTAGCTTTCCAAAATTATTTTGGAGTCACTGGAATTTAACCTTAATGCACTGAGCTTGTCATTACTTAGAGGGAATTGTGTATTGAGATTGGGGGCCAACTGACAATAAAAAGTTTAATTCTGGAATTTAGATCCAAGAACTAAATTGCCGGTCTCTTGAACCCTCATAACTCAGGCTCACAGCAATGGCGGACTCTGGCACAAACTTGGGAGCCTGGGTGTCTTCTTCAACGGAGAAGTATGCCGCTCCTCTCCTGTGCTCCAGAACCTATTCGGACAGCCAGGAGCCAGAATGAAATGTGATATGTAGAAGTCGAGCTGCAGGATCTCCCGTTTTCCTTCTGTGTCCTGATTATTGCCCAGGAAGTCAGTTGCAGCTCCCAAAGTAAATGTTTTCCAGCCTCAGCTCTGTGTCTATCTAACGCAGTATCTTCCTTGGTTTCCCACAGCATCCCTTTTTGTGTGTGGCTTTTTAGGGTAAAAAGACCTCCTCTTACTAGGGCCACTATCATAGAGCTTTTTTGTTTTGGTTTGGTTTTTTTCAGTCAGACTCTCAATCTGTCGCCAAGGCTGGAGTGCCGTGATTCGATCTCGGCTCATTGTAACCTCTGCCTCCCAGGTTCAAGCAGTTTTTGTGCCTCAACCTCCTGAGTAGCCAAGGCACAGGTGTGTACCACCACACCTGGCTAATTTTTGTATTATTAGTAGAGATGGGGTTTCACCATGTTAGCCAGACTGGTCTCGAACTCCTGACCTCAGGTGATCCACCCACCTTGGCCTCTCAAAGTGCTGGTATTACAAGCATGAGCCACCGTGCCCGGCCTCATAGTATGCTTTATTTCCACTCACAAAGCATATTTATCAAAGCCAGAGGTGTCCGTTAAAAAGAGAATAATACAAAAGAAAAATAAGGCTGGGTACGGTTCATACCTGTAATCACAGCACTTTGGAAAGCTGAGGCAGGCAGATCACTTGAGGTCAGGAGATCGAGACCAGCCTGGCCAACATGGTGAAACCCCATCTCTACTAAAAATACAAAAATTAGTCAGGCATGGTGGGGGGCACCTATAGTCCCAGCTATTCGGGAGGCTGAAGCAAGAGAATCACTTGAACCCAGGAGGCAGAGGTTGCAGTGAGCCAAGGTCATGCCACCGCACTTCAGCCTGGGTGACAGAGCAAGACTCCATCTCCAAAAAATAATAATAATTAAAATTTAAAAGGGTATATTTAGATTGCCCCAGGGCCCACTGTGTTTCTTTTCTCACAGATGATTCAGGCTAGTTTTAAGAATCTATTTCTTGAAAATACCTGTGAGATTGATGCCTTGCCCTTTCCAAATATCATGAAATGTTATCGACACTCCAGAAACACACCTGCTCTGGCACGTGAGTCGCTAATAAGTATCTGAGGCTAGCATTTGCATGGGTTGAAGGTGCCAGGGATGCCTTTCTCTGAACACCTTTGTTTTTTAAAGAATCTATTCACAGTTAAGGGGGAAAAAATGTTCGAACGCGAGCCATTAGCATGTTATTGAATTCTTGTTTCCAGTCAACAGCTGTGTTGTGCTTCGTGTAATAGGGTACATTTACTGATGCCTCAATGCTGTTCTTTTGATTTCCATGAATTTGACACACTCAGCACTCAAGTGTGTATGGCTGCATGTTGTTTCTTGTATTCATTATGTGTTTCCTACTTCCAAGTCATAAAAGCCTCACTAGATATCCAGGGGCCTGGAGTAATAAACACTTCATTATAAATGCTTTCCTTGTTTCTGCAAATTCACCGAATTAAAATCCTCCATTTATTGAAACATGCTTGAACCTTCCACGGAGGTTTTTGACAATCACTGGATTTGTTTGGGAGGACGAAGGGAATGTTGGAGGGAGACTGTGAGTATCCAAGAAATGTGAAAAGACATATTTACACAGGATGGAAATTAATACTATGAACTAACACACATGAGCAGTAACACACACACAAATGCTATATGTTATTTTCTTTAACCTTCTATTGCCATTATATGTTACCATAAGAAACAATTTCATTTCTTTTGTCTCCAGTCAAGCTTATCATTCCATTATGTTCTATGCTAGTTCAGGTCTATTTTTTTATTTTTTCAATGATCATTAAAATAAACTGCCTTTCCCCCCGCCTTCTATTACATGAAAGTCAAACCTAAAAGGATATTTACTTATCTTGTATTTCATTTATTTCATTTATTTTTGTTTAAAAACTTTCTTGTTTAAAAGCCTTCATTTATTTTTGTTTAAAAACTGAATCGATATTTATTTTTAAACTAATGTTTGTGGGTACATAGTAGCTGTATATATTTAGGGGATGCATGAGATATTTTCATAAGGCATGCCATGTGAAATAAGCACACTGTGAGGAATGGGTTATCATCCCCTCCAGCATTTATCCTTTGTGTTACAATCCAATTACACTCTATGTTATTTTCAAATGTACAACTAAAAAATTGAATCAGGCTGGGTGAGGTGGCTCACATCTATAATCTCAGCACTTCAGGAGGCCGAGGCAGGTGAATTGCTTGAGGCCAGGAGTTCAAGACCAGCCTGGACAACATGGCAAAACCTTGTCTGTTCTAAAAATACAAAAATTAACTGGGCGTGGTGGTGCTCACCTGTGGTCCCAGCTACTCGGGAGGCTGAGGCACAAGAATCGCTTAAACCTAAGAGGCGGAGGTTGCAATGAGTTGAGATTGCACCACTGTCCTTCAGCCTGGGGGACAGAGCAAGACTCTGTCTCAAAAAAAAAAAAAAAAAAAAGAATATTTAGGATATGTCATCAGAGAAGAGGGAGTGTTAAGTTCTCTTTACTTAGAAGGGACTTGCTGCCTAGAAAAGTGTTGTAGATTTCCAACATGTGTGACCTCCTGGCACCAGTGAGACACACCCTCCTACAGATGAAAAATAGATGCTGTTTTAGTTAAAGATAAATGGAGAGAAAAACTTCAAGGTAATTAACTTAGAGATTTATTTGTACAACTGCTGTGTGACTGCCAAGTATTTGTCATTAGTTTGTACACACACCCAGCCCTACTCTCAAAAAAGACAAGGAGATGAATATACTGCAAGTGTATGTACAGCCTGGAAAGGGCTGGAGGTGTGCAAGCACTATAGGACCTACAGGCAGCCTATAATTGTCGTCACCTATGCACAGAGGGATTGAGAAACTCTGCAAGCGCCAAGATTCCCAGAATTGGTAACAACCCTGTCTTCCAGGTAGTTTTCATCAAAGATTCTATTATTTCAATCTCCTTCTTTTACTTTTTAGGTGGTCCGAGACATTCTGCTGATTGGACATAGACAGGCTTTTGCATGGGTTGATGAGTGGTATGGTAAGTCCATTTCTCCAAAGTAACTTGTAGAACAATTTCATGTTGACTTGGGCTTTCTGTCCATTTGGCTTCAACAGCTACCTAGAAGGACAACAACAAAGGCAAGGCCACTGCTTCCTGTGTTGGAAATAGCACTGTCTGCCAGGCATAATGAAGATGTAATTATAGAAGCTTGGTCTAAAATAACCACAGAATTATTGACTAAGTAGGAAGCTCAGGATGTTTGATGCTTACATAGTTGATACGCATGGCTCCATCATTCTCTGTTAGATGGGTTTCAAACCCATCCTAATTTATCCCTAACTTCAAGATCAAAGCTCTCTGAAGCATCCTGTCAAGTAAAAGCAGTCCTTTGATTCAGAGAACACTTGAAACCATCCCTCACCAAATATATACAGGTTCTGCAAGAATTCAAGGGCAGACAGAGGCATAGGTGCCCCGTTCATCCTAATTGAAACTATTGTTCTGGCTTTTTTTTTGAGATCAAGTTTCACTCTTGTTGCCCAGGCTAGAGAGCAATGGTGCAATTTTGGCTCCCTGCAACCTCCACCTCCTAGGTCCAGGTGATTCTCCTGCCTCAGCCTCCCAAGTAGCTAGGATTACATGCATGGCCACCACACCTGGCTAATTTTGTATTTTTAGTAGAGACAGGGGTCTCTCCATGTTGGTCAGGCTGGTCTTAAACTCCCAACCTCAGGTGATCCTTCAACCTCAGCCTCCCAAAGTGCTGGGATTACAGGCGTGAGCCACCACACCCGGCCTGTTCTGGCTTTTTTGTTCATGATCTGGGAAGAGTTAAACGAGTTCTACACATTTCCAGCAAATGAAAACAAGGTTAGCTTCATCCATGATGTATGGACCATTCTTCCCAGGTCCTCAGCAGTCTTGTCTTGTCCACATAAATTTTCTGCACTCCCAGAATCAGTCATCAGATAGCTACCGTCCTTGGCTATAAATAGAAAGGAACATGCCCCACTGGTGACTTAGGTTAGATCTGATTTTCAGGTCGATTGTCTAATGAAATGCCCTCCTCCTTGGCCTTTTCCTAAGTCACATTAAATTTGTTCTGAGTATAACCTAGATTGCATTTTGGTCCTTTTCTGTGATTGTTCCACCAACTACCTCCCTTTCCTTAGCAGAGGGTACCAAAGTAAAAGGACACGTTGGATGGAAGGGTCAAGACAGTGATTATTATTAATATTGTTAGCTATTTCTGAGCCACATTTAAAAGGCGTGGTTCTATAAACTACGGGCTTTTCTTTTCTTTTCTTTTCTTTTTTTTTTTTTGTTTCCTTTTGCAGTTTTCCCAGCTCTGCACCTCTGAAGAGCAAATGCACCTTCCTGGGTTTGTCCAAATGCAGATCATTTACACTCTCTTATCACACACCCACAGAATGCTGTGCTTATGCCGCAAAGGCACTGGCTTGCCACATTGTCATGAAGTCTCCCAGAGACCTATTTCTAGTTGTCTTTTGTGAGGCAGGCAGGAGAGTCTCCTGTGATTACTTCTTCTGAGCCTTAAATAAATCTTTCTGGTTGTTTTTTTCTGGGGTGCTTTTCTTCTATTCTCAGAGGAAGCACCGACCCCAAAAAAGGATAAGAACTTCTAGTCTCTCCCAACTTGTGCTCCTCAGAGCTCACGGTTTCCTTGCTACCAACACCAAGGGAATATCAAAAGGATATTTAAAGATTTATAGGTGCGGCCGGGCACCATGGCTCACTCCTGTAATCCCAGCACTTTGGGAGGCCAAGTTGGGTGAAATCACCTGAGGTCAGGAGTTTGAAACCAACTTGGCCAACACAGTGAAACTCTACCTCTACTAAAAATATTTTAAAAATTAGCTGGTGTGGTGGCACACGCCTGTAATCGCAGCTACTCAGGAGGCTGAGACAGGGGAATCGCTTAAACCCAGGAGGCAGAGGTTGCAGTGAGCCGAGATCGCACCATTGCACTTCAACTTGGGCAACAAGAGCAAAACTCCCTCTGGAAAAAAAAAAAAAATCATATATGCAAACAGATTAGAAGTTTAGCAAAAGGAGAGGCACCTGAAGGGCCACAAATCTGCTACTCTGAAAACCAACAGACAGGGCACTCTCTGTTGCCAGAATGCCAAAGAAGACTGAACACTTTTCAGCTAAAAGAATAGCCAGGCTCTGATCAAGAAGATAAAAGAGGCTTTGATTAGAGGAAAGATATAGGAAGAAAACCCAGTATGGGTGGGTATCTAGTAAATGAAAGGCCAGGAAGGGCATGGGGCCTGACTTTTCCATCTCAGCTGAGCCTAGGGCAAGGAAAAGACTTAGGGACTTTTAATAAAAATTGAAAAAAAATTATTCCAGGCATGGTAGCCTGTAACCCCAGCACTTTGGGAGGCCTAAGGATGAAGAATCACTTGAGCCCAGGAATTCGAGACCAGCATGGGCAACATAGCAAGACCTCGTCTCTACAAAATAAATAAATAAAATTAGCCAGCTGCATGCCTATAGTCTTCGCTACTCAGGAGACTGAGGTGAAAAGATCACTTGAGCCCAGGAGCTGGAGGCTGCAGTGAGCTATGATCACACCACTATGCTCTAGCTTGGGTGACTGAGCAAGACCACATCTCTTAAGAAAAAGAAAGAAAGAATTCTCAGATTATAATGGGAGCCCAAAGCTAGAATAATGTATCAAAGGAGACAGGAGATCGCCACAAGAACATTTATTTACTTAGGATGAGTGAAGTGGAGGCATTTAACAACTAAGGAGTCTATTGTGCAAAAAGCCTTTTCCTTATCTGAGCACAAAACAGTGTGGGCTTAGTGAATGGGGATCATTAGGAAGCCTTGCACTCCCCATAGCGGGTCTCGCCCTGCATCCACTGACACAACCCCAACCAAAACAAGCCGCCTTTTCACTCAGCAAGGGTCTGAGAACTACACCATTAATTTCATGTAAACTACTGCAAGCATCAGCACCCACAGCTGAGCTGCTGACCAGGTGAACAGTGGCTCCTTCATCACACAGATGCAGACACTGAGTGAATCAAATGAATGGAAATGGCTCCTGCCCACAGAGTGCCTTCTCAGTTCTTTATTCAAAGTAATTCTGGGAACTGTGGGCCATGTGTGCCACTGGTACCCAGGCTAAGCGCCCACCAGCATTACCTTTCCACTCCATTTTGGGGTACTTGAAGTGGCTTATTTTTATTTGATCTGGCTCAGTGAGGCTCTCATTAGTAAACACGGAAAAGGTCCAAAATAAATCCTTGCCTATAGCTATAGCTTCTAGCACTGGTTCTCAAAGTCAGGTCCCTGGACTGGCAGGCAACATCACCATCCCTTGGATGCTTGTTAGAAATGCATATTCTCAGGCCCCACCCCAAACCTACTGACTCAGAAACTCTGAGGGTCTAGCCCAGCAATTGTTTTAACAAACCCTCCAGATGGTTGTGTTGCTGGCTTAAGTTTAAAAACCACTGGCTTATTGCATGGGCTGTAAACCAGACTAGGACATTGGGCTGTCAGGACAGCTTAATTCATTCAATCCAAATAGGTTAACTAGAGAATCATAGCTATCTACAGAATCAACCACACTCCAGTCTGGGCAACAGAGCAAGTCTTTGTATCTAAAAAACAAAAACTAAATAAAAACATGATTGCAGGAACCCAAATTCTTACAACTCTGATTCCTTGTGAGAATTAGAAAAAAGCTCCCCTTTAGACAGATGAATTAGAAAAAGATGCCCCTTCTGGGCAGACTCAGCAGGTGCTCTGGACTTGGGGCTGAATTTTAGCCCCATTGGCTTCCTCTGCTGTGTGTTCATACAGTGCACAAACTGTACACGCTGACGCATGGGCAGCCCTAGATGTCTTTCTCTCTAATTAGACTCACCACCTTCAGTGCTTAATTAAGAGTCAAGAAAAAAAAGGACATTGTTGAGGGTAGTGATCATTTGTCAGCCAAGGATTAATTTTGTATCTCTTCTGAGTTTCAGCATTTGGCTGTCATGAAACTTTCCCTAAAGAGATTTTATTCTGCTCATGTTCATTGTAAAGTGTAACCATTTCCATGTTGGAGGAGTTGAGTGTGTCTTTCAAAGCCCTGATTGGTCTTTATCCACGAGCCCTGGGTCTCTCTGCATGACTAGAACACTAATCAGAGAAATAACAACAACATATTTCAGGAGTTGGTGTGAGAGGGAAAGTGGATAAAAATAGGCAGCCCAGCCTCAGAGAGGCATGGTTTTGCTTTACAAATCTGACAGTGTTTTGAGAAAGGAACACAGAACATTTTCAGAGGGAGCCTGTGATTGAGTTGAACCTCACAAATGTCTTTGAAAACTAGACTCTAACCAAAAAGTATGAGGGAGGGGGAGTTCTGGCTGGCATAGATGACACTGCCTCATGAAAGTGACTTAGAAATCAGCCTGGAGTCCCTAGAGCAGGTCTAACGATGAGTGAAGCAAGGTTAAGGTGGAGAAATAAGCCTGCTAGGGGTTACATTAGCTGGTTGAGTTCACCAAGCCAGCATTTTCCAGTGCAACATTTTATGTGTATGTGTGCTTATATTCGTTTAGCTGGGGAGAGAATCTATAACTTTCCATCAGATTTTCAGAGGAACCTGTAAACCCTTCCCCTGCCTACTCCCTGCTCCCAATTAAAAACTACAGGAAAAAAAAATCACAACTGTAAGGCCAGGCACGGTGGCTCACACCTGTAATCCCACCACTTTGGGAGGCCAATACAGGCAGATCACCTGAGGTCAGGAGTTCAAGACCAGCCTGGCCAACATAGTGAAACTCCATCTCTACTGAAAATACAAAAATTAGCCAGGCATGGTGGTAGACACCTGTAGCCCCAGCTACTCAGAAGGCTGAGGCAGGAAAATCACTTGAACCCAGGAGGCAGAGGTTGCAGTGAGCTGAGATCGCGCCATTGCACTCCAGCCTGGGTGACAAGAGTGAAACTGCATCTCCAAAAAAGAAAAATCACAACTATAGATTACAGTTCTAAATCTTACT